ATTCGCATAATTGTTGCTTGTCGAGTAAGCTTACAAATCATAACTACTATCAACGAAAATTCACCAATAGATTTCACATGGGATAAGGATAGGATTAATTTAAACACGTCCGCGTCCCTCCAATTTCATTTATAATCCGTGTTACCCTACCTTAACATTAATTTTTGAAATGGTTGTCGTCTTTAATTTGCTATTCCATTTCTCGGCACTATAATTTTTGCAATTTCTATTCATTATTCTCTTTAAATAAATATATCGTCAAAATATTTAAAATTTATTTAATCCTTGCTTCTTTTGCATCAGATATTACAAAAGGGATCATAATCTTATTATGAAATGATCGTCGGTGGAGTTGAAGTGCTCCTATATTTTATCGCAAATGTTACGTTTCTATTCATAATTCTGGCTTCTATTAAAAATGCGCTGCTTCAGTGACTAAAGATTCGCCGATAATATACACTATTTCACGTCAATTCGTATAAACATAAACAAATACGTGTCCATAGTAAATACTATTGAGAAATCAAATTGGTATAACGCAACCGAAATTTTATCAGAACGCAAAATTCAAATTAACACTACATTAAATTAAAAAAAAAAGAAAATTCTGAAATAGATCCTGTTTGAATTTCAAAAAACCAATAATTTTAAGAAGTTACGTTGTCCCTGGTTTAGCTGCAAACGTTTCACCGTTCTTAGAAGAAAAAATCTTCAGTGGACTCTTTTTATTATGAGCTGTTGAATCATGCTACAGAACCATCTTCTAAAAATGATGAAACGTTTGCAGCTAATAAAGGAAACCTTCCGGGGTGACCTCCACCGATTCAGTGGCGGTTTAAATGTGTCAATCGACATCAAAAATGATGAGATACGTATTGTTTTACGGAAAAACATTTTTAAGGGGTGAATAAGTACTTTATAGCGTGATTTTCAAGCTTCACGTATTTCTATTTATATTTTCTAAAACGACCGAATGGATGGAAAATGGGAAAAAGTGCTTGTAGTCGCATATTTTAAGAAACCAAATAATTTGAAAGGGTTGAAAATGAAAAAAATTGTAAGAAAACTATTAATTATTTTTTAATGGGATCAATTTTAATCAAAACAGCGTAAAAAATACTAAATATACGCTTTTTCATTTTTGAATGACTCGAAAAGTACGCAATATGCTCATTGTGCCCAAACTATAAATTTAATCGATACACTTTTTAAATAAAACTTGTTTCCTGTTTTAATACAAGATAGTATGTAGCATCTAAGTTTGATTTACTATACAGAGTGTTCAAAAACAGAAAAGAAAAAGGCACAGTTAAATATGCATGAGTCTAAATGAAAGAAAGTTATGTAAATATATATTAATTACTAACCATTAACACTAATTACACTACAATTGTTTTTTGAAAAGGGTTGAAAAACAAAGCAAAAATGAGTTAAAACAAGTAAAACCCTAAACCGTAATATATATACAGGTAAGGTAAAACGTTCATCGAACACATAAATTACGCATTTCTTTGTCAGAATCTTCTTTTTTTATGTAACGCAAAAGAAGATGCATAATTTAGTGATAATGTAGCATATATTTTTTCAGTCTATCAAACAAATCAATTTAAATCAATCGAATGTCACCTGCTTCTCAGAGGCGTAGCTGGGTAACCAAAGGTCCTGGTGCAAAAAAAAACTGGGCACTAACTATTTAGGTTTTATCTTTCGTATCTAAGACCTACAGTAGGTAGATAGTGAAATGTATACTGACAACAAAATAACAATTTAATTTATAATCTTTTCCAAGTATCAACGATTTCGGTTAAATCTAGGCTAGATGCGGCTTTATTTTCTTTGCTATTAGCGATAAATGTCGGACTTGAACTTCGCCCATTCATCCCAAGTTTCCAACAGAAGTCGAAACTTGTTGGAAATTCCCCTGTATTCTTCCAAAAGAGTTGCCATGATTAAAATTGTTTGCAACCTATTTTATCTACATTCCTAAGGTGGAAGAATTTTTCGCTGGTTTAATTTGACGTTAGCTCAAGGGTCCCCCTGAACTTGTGAGCCCAGATGCACTGCATTATAAAGTTTATATTCGTATTTTTCAATAGATTATACCGCCCTTTGATGATTTTATATAATAAATTTCTCAACTCGCCACTAGTGTATATACTTCTTAGCGTTAGAGTGGCGTACACGTGCATAAATATATAGGTAAACCGTGTTTTAATTTATACCAAAGTAATATACTTTTAAGGCCTCATAATTTCTCAAAATTTTTGAATAATTCTATTCATGGAATTAAGTGAAAGAAGTTCTGAAATCTCCAAATAATATCAACTAAAGCAAACACAACGTTTAAGTTACAGAAGACTTTTATTAATTTATCACCATAATGATCATTTCGCCATAAAGTGAAAGAAATAATTACTTCCACCTAAGGAAGCCGCCGCGTGGCGAAGTAATTATTCTGGTGACAATAAAAGTGCTTTTTAACTTAAACGCTATATTTGTATTCGTCTTTAATTTCATTCAGTGTTTTGCGATTACATAAACACAACATAATTTATTATTTTATCACAGCGTAAAAGACTTTTTCCCGTACAAAGGGAAGCAATACTGCACCCAAACAGGGACGAAATCATTTGAAAGGGTCTTCAAACATGCAAACAGGGAGTGAGAAAAACTAATTCTGTCTATCCTGGTGGGGTATCCTTTAAAAGAACATACGCTTATCTGTTTAAATCTTTTAGGACATTAACCAGTAATAGTCAATAGGATAGGATTTATTTCGCGGAACATCAAGATTATGGTTTATATCTATCACAAAAAAAGAATACTGCGTGTAGTTTTTACGAGGGATGAAAAATCACTCAACAGTGGTAAAAAACAAGTTAAATAAAGTGTTAATGTGTTAAAAAAATTAAAGTAAAAAATTATCACTGCGATTTCTTTGCCTAATACTAGTTTTCAATACTTTGTTTTATCGCTAGTAAAACGCATATTTTAGAACAAAACATTTTAAATACATGTAGTATTTTAAAACAGTTTTATATAAAACGACTTGTAGATGGTTAATATTAATTATTTCTTATTTCTCTAATCTGCTACATTTTTTAAGATATATAAATTTATTCATCATACTAGTTCTTCCCTCCTGTCTACTATGACGTAGTGTCGGCCATCATTCTTTTCTAATTGTTGCAGTTGTCGGCCATCATTCTTTTTCAATTGTTGTCAAATTGTCACTGAAGGCGGCCATTATGGTTTTTTAATATAGTAATCAATGATTAAAATTTAAAGGAATTGTTTCTAAATAGGTATGCAACACATCGTACACTTCACACAAGAAATTACTGATACTAACTTTCATTTACGTAATACTACTTTGCCCTGTGCTGACAGCACTCATAATGTTTTTTATATATAACATTATAGCTATTAGTTATTTTGTATTCATTATTGTTATTTTCCCGTCTGACCCAAGAACGCGTCCCATAGGGCAGTTCATCCAATCGATACGATTGTGTGGTGATTGGCCCTTTGCTATCGATTTGAACAATTCTTATTACTTGGAAGAAAATTTAACGAACCTTTGATATTAACCAGAACACTGAGTTCAGTAAACTTGGCATAAATTCTATATCAACAGTGTTATTGCTAAGAGCGAAAACCTTTGGTACAAACCGCAGGGTGTATGAGACTACAAACGCAGGTTTTTGAACGAGCTAATTAATTTTTTTTGTATGATGTTTGCTTAAAGAACGTCAAGAATTAATATTAATCATTAAAAAATATTGTAGCAACTTTGCAAAAATAATGGAAACAGCGATCAGTAACTTGTTATTGTGTTAAACAATTGTTTCACCACATACTATAACTTATTTGGAAGTTATACAATACAAGTTTATTATTTATATGGAGTTGGATGGGGACAGGGAAAATTAGTTAATTTTTTTCTTAATCAAAATATTCATGTTTTCAAATTTAATAATTTCTCAAATATCTAGTGATAATTTATGACTATTTTCTTCTGTACATGGTTTGCATAATTGGAATCGGCTTTTTTATTAGAATATATTTTTTTGTAGGTATTCACAAATTCTAGTTATAAAACTTATAAAAAAAAGTTTAATTATTATATCATATGCGTACATGTATTNGCGATTTCGATCTTTTTGGATCTCATCAGCGCGTCGCCGGCAGCTCCGACAGAACACAGACCAACTTTCACCTGCTGTCTTAACAGTACGTTTTAGAAAATACTATAAATGGCGCAGTAAACGCCATCTATAGCACGATGCTACATTTTAGGATTACGTATGCTCGAACAAGGTCTACCTGTGTGGATATCTACTTGCTGAAAATGAATCCCGGCGTAGCTAACCTCAACGTGATAGCTTAAATAGCTTAAGCTCCACTATGACGTAGTGTCGGCCATCATTCTTTTCTAATTGTTGCAGTTGTCGGCCATCATTCTTTTTCAATTGTTGTCGCATTGTTACTGATGTCGGCCATTATAGTTTTTTAATAGATGTATAGTAATCAACGATTAAAATTTAAAGGAATTGTTTGTAAATAGGTATGTAACACATCGTATACTTCAGCATAAGAAATTGCTGATACTAACTTTCTTTTACGTAATATTACTTTGCCCTATGCTGACAGCACTCATAATTCTTTTTATACATATTATTTATTAAATTTAGTTTACAGTCAAACAGAACATTATTCAAATGCAAAGATTACGTGTTATTAATTACGGCTTTTTTTAATTATACATTAATATGGTAGGTATGGATGTGTCTCTGTATGGATTCTTATAGATATATGGAAAATGTGTGTAACGATAAGAGGCGGTAAAGAGGTTAGGTTATGTTTAATATAATACTAGTAATTTTTGAAATCTATTTAATTCATTAAAATGGCAAACGATAGGTACATTGCTCATTTACGATCAATTCCACATACTCGCAAATGTAATCTTATATTTACATTTTATTTTGATGAAATAGTTGCACCTATAGTAGCAGTTCGTCAAGTTAAGGACAGTGTCGAGTCGTTAATTGGTCATACCAAAAATAAAATCCAGGGACTGTTGAGTAAAAAAGGCAAAGAAAATGTAAACATAAAAGTAAAAATCACAGCAAACGGAAAACCGGCAGCTAAATACAGTTGTTGGGACTTTATTAATCTGGAAAACAATGTTGTTCTACAAGTAAACGAACAGATTTACGATGTAACGTTAAATGCACCTTTCGTACAATCTGTTTTACTGCCAAAAGTACTTTTTATAGAAAATGATATAGTTCCAATTAATTTGAAAGTAATTCATGCAGTTGACCACATGTGTAAATATCAATGGCATAAATCTAAAGATAAGATAAACTGGGAAGTTGTGGGAAACGAATTTAGGTATAAGCCCAAGCCAGATGATTTAGACTATTTTTTGAGGCTTACAATATATCCTATCAATAGACAAACTGAAGGTCCAATATTTCAAATTATCAGTGAAAATGAAATAAAACAACTTTATTTGCCAATAGGATGTCCTTTCGAAGAAAGTCACAGATTGACACACTCAAAATTACAAGGCACAAGGTATATAAAAAAACCTAGCAATTCAGTAACAACATTTTATTAGCAATGCTTAGCCATAACTCTTAAACCAAGCAATTATTTTATTCATAGAATTAAAAATTAAGTGTCTCAAGAATTAATTATTGTTGTTTAGTTTTAGAGTTGTATGTTATAACATCCTTTCAGAAAGGTACACAGACGATGGATTTACATATTGTCCTGAAGAATATTTAACAATAGATTATAGAAAACATTTGTTATTAAATGAACTAAGAGGTAAAATACCAATTGCTTTACTTAAATACAATTGTTAATCTTACTTTTCTAAGGATACAATGCTGATATAATGTGCTTACAAGAAGTGGATTTAAAATTACTTCAACCATTTCTTGGAAGACATTTAGTAGAAAGTGGTTATGTAGGTGTATATCACAGAAAGGGAAATAGACTTTCTGAAGGATTAGCAACCATATATAGGGAAGATCGATTTACGTAAGATGGTCTATTAGTTAAATCTACATTAAAATAAATTATTTTTATTAATGCAGAATCAAAAAATTACAAACCCTTTTTTAACAGAATTATTGAATCAAAGCATTATGTTTTGTCAATGGAAATAAAAAGAAACCCATTATGTAAAAGCATGTGGCAACTTCTTCTGGCCAATAATGAGGCAAAAGAAAACTTTCTGAAGCAAGCAACCTCATGTCAAATAACGGTATTTCAAGAAAACTTTAACAAGCAGATGTGTTTGGTCCTCAATACACATTTATTTTATCGCCCAACAGATAATCACATTAGGCTCATTCAAATAGGAGTAATAATGAAACTGATAGAGAAATCGTACACGGATTTAGAAAAAAGGGTATGATTTTATTTGCATGTTTACATGTTCTAGACTACCTAAATTTTCAGATTAAAAAGCCTCCTCTACTCATATTATGTGGCGATTTCAACAGCAAACCACCATCTGGTGTTTATGAATTTATGACAAAAGGGTGCATAAATGCAAATCATCCTGATTGGAAACCAACTGGTAAATATTATAGATAAATCATAAATCTGTTATGCATTTTTGAAAATATACTGAATATGTACAATCTCCAAAGGCTATAGCCAAATAAGCAGAAATGAAAAAGAGTCTTAATAAAAATTGCATCTTTAAGACATTCATTCAATTTATCAAGATTAAGATAGTATTGATTACTATTTAAAGAAACTGGGAAGCAAATACTGTATTATTACCACTTAACTAATCCATTTTTTAGGTAAAAAAAGGGTTAAAGGATTTTCGTTAAAACATCAGTTCCAGTTAGAAAGTGCTTATGGGACACCAAAATTCACAAATTATGTAGGTGATTTTCAAGGTTGTTTAGACTATATATTTTATGACAAATGTCGCATGAATAAAATTCAAGTAGTACCATTACCAGCAGAAGATATTTTAAAAGAAAATGTGGCCTTACCAAGTCAAGTCTTTCCTTCCGATCATTTGGCACTAGTTGTTGACTTGACATGGAGTATTTAAATAAAATAATGACGGTGTCCTTTTTTTATACCAAACAAAATTGATTGAAGATTTTTTTACTTATGGCTATTTTATTTTTCACATGTATAAACATTAATTGTTATTTAATATAAATAGTTTTATAACATCAGACTTATAATTACATGGATAATTATAAAAAGTTAATAAACTAACTTTAACATTTATAGTGTTAATAAGGACCACAATTGATTAACTGTGATTAAATGCAGTTAATATGTACAGTTACGTTTTAAATAGCACATACAAAAATAAGACTTGTACTAACTTTCGTTTCTTTTTCTACATGCATAGCCAAATTTGAGCAAGGATAAAGCACATTATAAATATCCCATTATTAAGCTGAACAACTTTGATTATGAAGAGAAACATATAAAATTGTAATATTAAGTAGCAATCTCTCTTTACTATAACGTATTTAATCGTTTTTGACGAATTTGACTATTAGGATTAAAGATTTCTTTTTAATTATGAAAAATTAGATTTTGATTACAAATCATACTAAACTGAGTAATTTCATTTCAGTTAGAAATATGTATAAAAAAACGTATAAAAACTAATTATATCAAATATAATTTGTTTCATAAAGGACAGACTAGGAGTTACAAGAACAGAACTAAAAAACAAAAATTACTTAATTACAACTAAAAGTTACTGTACACAAAACGTTTACACTTTTAAAATAGTACTTAATTGCAATAAATTGATTAAACATATAAAAACGATCACGCGACCGTTTTATATTATTCATTTTAAATACATAATACACTTAAAAAATATCAAATTGGCACTTGATCGATTATACAAATTACATATACATACAAGTTATAATAATAAATAAATTAAAGGAAAACAAAATGCGTTTGCACTGGGTCTAATATAAATTAATTACTGTATCATTTTAATACCTTCATTAAAATAATTGAAACATTATCCAGCTGCAAGTTATGCGTAAAAAATCAGCAATGTAAAGCTAAAATATGAGATTCATTTTTATGCCTGCGTATTTTATAAATTAGCATATTAATAGAATACCTAAAAAGTTCATAACAATTTAAAATTCACATTATATTGCAAAAAATTCTCAACATCATCATTTTTAAAAAGTTAATTTTTTTACTTAGTAATACTCTAATTTTTATAAAATCTTAATCCCAAAATGAACAAAACAGTAAGTGAAATATAAAACATTCTGTTTTATAAAATCAAAAGAATTTTTTATATAATAAATTCACGTCGTATATTACAATTTAATTAGGTAATCATTTAAAGTTCATA